AATGAAAACTAGTGGTAAGAGGAACAAGGGAAACGAGGTGGGGTGAACATATGAGAGGGGGAAAACTAGTGTGTGTGTGTGTGTGTGTGTGTGTCCTGGTTGGCCTGTTAACTGACTGGATGAATGGTAAATTAGCATACTGACAAATTATATGACTGACTGGTTGGGTTTACGACTCAGGTTGTAGGACTTATAAGTTACTGAATGTCAGGAGTTATGACTGCCTATCTCTTAAGTTAGCGTCAGGCTGTATGACAGACTGGCTAAGCTACTGACTGTCAGGTTGTGTGACTGGTAGGTTAGGTAAGTGGGCGGGTGATTAATGATCCAGGGGGGTTGGTGGCAAGCAAGAAAAACAGGCGGCTAACACCTGGCCTTCAGCACCCCACCGGTAATTACCCCCCCAGGTGCAGCAGGTGGACACCCACCACCACCTTGTTTAATGGTAATACTGCTTTCTCAACACCGCTCCGAACACATGCTGCTGCTGCCACACCTGTTTGGACCTGGTGTAGCCCCGCCCCAACCTAACCTACCCTAAACACACGTACATAATGCAGTAATATCAATAACACTACAGGTGCTACTGCTACAGGAGGCTATGAGTTAGGCTATCTGTACATCACCTTTTCCACGGTTCAATACCCTTCTCATATCGACCCTTCCTTATATTAAGAAAAGCAGTCTCTCTCTCTCTCTCTCTCTCTCTCTCTCTCTCTCTCTCTCTCTCTCTCTCTCTCTCTCTCTCCAGCTAACACCTACATTAAAAATAGAGACGGGACTGTGGCGTGTAGTGTCGCTCTGACGTCACCCTGACGCACGCCTCCTCATCTCCACGGCCCCCACGCCTCGCCTCAAGTGCTGCCAGGTGTGATGCCTCCTCACCTACCTACCTGTGCTCTCTTTGTTCATCATAACACCTTACTTATCGACCTGTGTTCTTCATTATAACATTCATCTACCAGTGTTCACCATCATAACACCTCACTCACCTACCTGGGTTCTTCATTAAAACACATTTTTTCTCACCTGTATGTGTTCTTGTTCTTCATAACATACAATCAAATCCTGAGTAGTGTTAAGTGTCATGTTGGCTACTATTAGTATTAGCTACTACTGCCAATACAACCAATATTACTACTAACACCTACTACTACTCTCACTACCGTAACACTACTACTACTACTACTAATACTACTACTACTAATAATAATAATAATAATAATAATAATAATAATAATAATAATAATAATAATAATAACAGCAGCAGCAACAACCTAACCGACGCCGTAAAATTAGCTGTCCCTGCACCCATCGTTAACACCCGTATCTATGAAACAACTATTTCTGGACACGGAAAATACTTGACGTCACAAACTCTGTAATGTCCTCGTGGATGAGTGTCAAGGTCAGCCGAGTGTCTCCCGTTCTTGGTAGTCAAGGAGACGCGTCCAGATTTATTATCTTAGCCGAATCTCTGGTGGTTAAAAGCTGAGTAATGAGCGCATGACGGCCCTGGAAACAGCTGATGGATGTAAACAAACCCACGTGGGTCTAAGATGGACACACACAGCTGATAGATATAAACAAACCCACATGTTCTTCTCTACGTCCACCTCTCTCTCTGTCACACACACATACACATTATAGACCACTTGACTCTCGTTGGTGATCCTCTCAAGGTGTCAGGGAGCGTGATAATGAGGTACTGATGCAAGACACAAGATTGGGGTCGACAAATATACCCCACAGACTAGGCAGTCTTTCACAGCTGACACGCTCCCCATCACTCAAGCATAGTGTGATGATAAACACACGCGTGAAGCTTTTATTGTGAGACAGACAGACAGAAGAGAGAGATAGAGAATAGAATAAATTATTATACAACATGGACCCAATTCTCAGTACCCGTCGCTCTGGCCCGGGGTCGAGTAGTGAGTCAGGTTGGCGGGCGAGGTGGCACCGTCGTCCACGAAGTTGATCTTTATGTTGCGAGGAAGACAGTGCAGGACGCAGCTATAAACAAAACCATCTTGGAGCGAGACGCTACACTTTGTACGAGAGGAATCTAGTTCAGGGAATAGTGTCACGAGTGTCCGGGTTGCCTGTGGGGCGACCACTACCACCAGCTGCGGTGCTTAATGTACCTGAGCGGGTGAGGCAGAGGGGCAGGTGGTGGACAACGATAACACGCCCCACCAGCTGCCCCGCGTGCCCACCCTCGCCCCTCCTACTGGATGATGACCCCCATAGTGTGTGTATTTAAACCTAAATCTGCGCTTCGCCTGGCCCAGGATGTAAAAGGGTGCCCGATAAACTAGCACCAGGGCCACTTGGGGCAAATCTGAATCCAAACACATAACTGTTGGCTTCACCATCTGTCTGCTCACCTCACACTGTTAACCCTCACCTAGTACACAATGACACTAAAGACTGTTGACACGTATAGTGACCCAACCACGTCTATGCTGACCCTATCTTCTGTACGCTGACCTGACAACCTAAAGCCGGTACTTGACTGAACCGATTATGTGTGTACGGGGACGCCACACAGCAACCATCATGTACTGTGCTATATATACGACGGCTATCAAGTGTAGCCCCTCACCCACGTGTGTGGAGTAGGTGGCGTGAGTGGTGCTGGCTACTGACCCCCCCCCCTCTCCCACACGTGTCCACAACAGTAACCAGGTCAGCGAAGATGAGCCGATATACCACAACAAAACACATTTTAATTCCTATAAAAAAAACACACACTTAAATCTGTGTCAACGATTTACCACCACTACTACTACCACCACCACCACCACCACAAAGACAACCAAATTAACCACCACAGTTATCCCACCTTCCTGCTGAGGTTCATAAAGAAGACTTGTCAACACCCAACAGCCAGTCAGCCACTTCTGGGAATCATGAACCCGTATCATAACAATTAAATTGAAACAGTTTATTTAGTCAAAAGAACACAGATACAGAGTGGATAATAATAACAATATTAACATGGCTGAGCCAGTTGAGAACCTGAGCTCTCCTGTAGGCACCTGATATATACTGTACATTTATCTCAAGGAAGTATTATGTAACATTTAGTATCATCTGGAATAGTACAATAGCATGGTGGTAATAAGAACATCTCATATGTTACCACGGTTATCACTTCAATATTTATTATTTTTATTTATTTATTATTAATATTATTTTTTATTATAAGTATATACATAAATTACAGTGGAATTGAAAAACATAAGCATAATGGGGTAGCAGTACAACATGGGTTGTACAGTAATAAGGTTGAACAAGAGGACAGCTGTCAGGAGTATGTCTAGTTGGCAATTATGTTTATTGCAATGGTAATTTCCGAAAAAACGGTTTTGATGGTACAAAAAAATATTAATACTTAGACAAAAGATATTTTTTAAGAGATGATTTAAAGGAAAGAGGCGTAGTCTTTGCTGGGATGGGTGAGGGTAAGTTGTTCCACACCTTCACACCGTGATATTTTATGGAGGTCTGGGACTGAGAGGAGCGCATGGGGGTGGTCTTAGTAGCTCTGGGTTCCTTAAGTTGTATCTCTGATTATTCCAGAACTAGAAATAATTATTCCCCAAACGCCTTTCCTAGTTTTAATAAATAGTTGTACCCGAGACGACCATTACTGCCACACCGGGATGAGATACGCCACAATACCTTTAACTCTTTCCCCAGGTTAATGAACTCAGGAGTCACCCCCCCCCCAACCACCACAACAACAGTGTGTGTTTAGGGAGACACAGAACAAATTGTAGTGTTCCGTTAAGCCAAAAGAAACTACAATAACAATAATCATTAGTCTCGGCCAGCATAAAACCAACATCTGGACAGGACACCATACAGAACGTGGGCAACAGGGTCCGTCCACACACACCCACACGTCCTCCCTGCTACCCACACCCAACCCACGTCTACTCTGAAAATGTCACATATTCCCAGAATGTCTACTGTCAATTAATGATAATCTCACCTAACCAAACCAAAACAAACCTAAACAAACCAAACCTACATAAACCAAACCTACACAAACCTAACTAAACCAAACCTACCCAAACTAAACCTACCCAAACTAAACCTACCCAAACTAAACCTACACAAATCAAACCTAACCAAACATAACCTAACCTACCCAAACAAAACAAAACAAACCTAACCTAACCTAACCAAGGCTTCAGCACACCATTACTGGCTTAAGCCAAACCTAACTAAACCAAACCTACACAAACCAAACCTAACCAAACCTAACCTACACAAACCACCTAAACAAACCAAACTTACATAAACCAAACCTACACAAACCTAACTAAACCAAACCTACCCAAACTAAACCTACCCAAACCAAACCTAACCAAACCTACCCTACCCAAACCAAACCAAACCAAACCTAACCAAACCATATATGCAAAATGGGAATAAGACGGACTGTAATATTACCAAATGGCCGACCCTCAAAAAACACTCCAAGACGCTGCGTATATCTCAAGTTTGCGACGTTAAAAATAATGTCAAGTGCCTTTTTCAAGAGAGTATGACGGACCCTAAAATGACTTGGCCTTTTAAGTCATAAGATACTACGCAATAACTACCTAATTTGGGGGTGGGGTGGATGGTGTCGAGGCAGGGGGAGTGATGGGGGCAGGGGTGGTGATGATGGGAGCAGGAGTGGTGATGGGGGCGGGGGTGGTGATGGGGGCGGGGGATGTGGGGAGGTGTCTAAATGTGTGTGTGTAAGTCGGGTCTATTTACCGCTAATTAACCTGCGTGACGGATCAACAGCGAGGCACACTATATCCCGGAAGCTAAATATCAACAGTGACTCATCAACAATAACAACAAAAACAATAATAATAAATAATAATGAATAAACAATAAAATAATAACAACAACAATAATAACAATAAAAAACTAAACAATTAATAAAAACAATAATAATAATAATAACAATAAAGAGGGAGGCAGCGTCTTACCTCCCGCAGGCAGCAACGACCTACAGTCACATTATCATCCCTCACACTTACCTGTAGAGAGGAGAAACATACGTACATTACAACCCTGATACAACACACACACACACACACACACACACACACACACACAAGCAGATCATCTTAAAGCTATATGTTGTATAATTAATGACCTTTGACCCCTTTTGACCCTAACCAATAAGTGAACGTTCTAAATGCAGAGTAAAAACGTCTGAACTTGTTACTTTTATGCCACATACATACTTACACACATACCTTGTTACACACATATATATACACACAGAGTTACATTAACACAAACATACATACATACACACACATAACCGCCCCATAACAAGGCCCCATGAGGTTAAATAGACAAAACAATAAAATTCATCCATTTCGTTTAAAAGTACCATGATCTCAAACTGTTAGCACGGACAAAAATATATACTGTACACCTCCTTCCCAGCCGCGATCATGAGGCTAAAAAGTTATAATATAATAACAATAATCCGGTCCGCTCAACTTATCTCGTTCACACACACACACACACACACACACACACACACACACACACACACACTCCAAAAATACCACAACAGCGCTACAAACACAATACAGAGATCAATGAACACAAACCACTACACCCCACTATCTGTACCAATCCCCCCACCATCTGTACCAATCCCCCCACCATCTGTACCAATCCCCCATCACCTGTGCCAATCCCCCACCCATCGCATCCCCCCACCATCTGTACCAATCCCCATCACCTGTACCAATCCCCCACCATCTGTACCAATCCCCCACCATCTGTACCAATCCCCCATCACCTGTACCAATCCCCCATCACCTGTACCAATCCCCATCACCTGTACCTAATCCCCATCTGTACCAATCCCCCATCACCTGTACCAATCCCCCATCACCTGTACCAATTCCCCATCACCCTGTGCCAATCCCCCACCATCTGTACCAATCCCCCCACCATCTGTACCAATCCCCCATCACCTGTGCCAATCCCCATCACCTGTACCAATCCCCCCACTATGTACCAATCCCCCATCACCTGTACCAATCCCCATCACCTGTGTACCAATCCCCCATCACCTGTACCAATCCCCCACCACCTCTGAACATATCCTACCTCCCTAAATCTAACTTAATAATAGAGTTGAAACAATCTAGTAGCTGGTTCACCCCGTCTTAACTACACAACAGGGTGATTTGAGTTCCTCCTCCATGACCCCCAGAGACATTTAACAATCACTCGGACAAATGCGAGGTCATGAAATTTTTTATAATATTGACCCGAAGGCAAATGTTGATGGTTAAATATTTACAGTGCATTTTGTTTGAAGTGTTTATGGATATTTATTTAAAGGTGACTCGTTTATACAATGTTAAAAATTAAAACAAAATTAAACATAAGGTTATTTAACATCTAACCTTCCAGCGATAAAAGATAATGTAAGAGATAAAACAATTTGGGGATTAAATAATAATAATAATAATAATAATAATAATAATAATAATAATAATAATAATAATAATAATAATAATAATAATAATAAATAAATAAATAAAACTCAAGTCGGTAAAAGTTGCATCGTGCCCTTGACGTCATCAGCGGGGTGATCTGCTCGCAGTCCCTTTAAAAGACAACTCTCACCCCCCACACCACCTCTTAATGTTACCTCTTTCAAACCACTCAGGGTGAGGGAGGAGAGGAGGAGAGGTGTGGGGAGGGAGGGAGGATGGGAGTTAGGGAGAGAGGTGGGTGGGGAGTGAGAGAGAATTGGGTGGGGAGATGAAGAGTGGGTGGGGGAGAAATAGAGAGGTGTGGGAGTTGGTGAAAGGGGAGAGAGAGAGGAGGAGGTGAGTGAGAGATAGGGGGGGACAACAACAAAACTCCCTCAACACTCCCGTCCTTTACTACTGCCGGGGCGGAGTGTACTATCCAACAGGGGAGGTCGCCCAGGGCAGTTTCTCTCACTCTTAGTTGGTGTTGGTCTTGAGAGACTCATATACTCCCCACCTGGCCAGGCTTACCTGCCCAGGTATACCACACACTCTTGCTACTCTCAACAGTCTATTCAGGGGTCAAACTAATTGGGTATTATTATTGTGTGTAAAGAGGAGAAAAGAGGAGAGAGAAAGATAAGATAAAAGAGAGATTGCCTCATTATATATTATTAGTGGGAGTAAAGGCTGGGGCGGTGAAGGCCATCTCATCACCCAACAGATATGAAAAAGTAGCCACAGTCTCTCTCTCTCTCTCTCTCTCTCTCTCTCTCTCTCTCTCACACCAGAATTCCAAGACAATCATTCATTTGTTGCCAGATTGGGTCGGTCAAGTGGATATAAGCTCACTTCCTGTCCTAGGGTAGCTAGTTCGCAGCGCCCAGGTGGATCCCCCCCAACCCCCAATTCACCTGCCATTACAGTTAGGTGAAAAGGAGACAATCGTGTGCAGTGCTGGCCTAAATTACCTCTTTGTGTACCCAGAACAAGGCTAAGGTCTACAGTGTGCTATATCCGTACCGCCCCTAACAGCTGGTCTAAGGAACTCATTTCTCAATATATTTCAATCAGTCACTTTTGCGGGACCTTTAACCCATAGTATCTGTCAACTGAGCGTAACAAGCATAATGAGGCGTAAAAACTGCGACCATGAATGAAGATAATCAGGTGAGGAACAGGTGATAAAACGATCTTTGACGTAAGTAATTGAAAGCAAACGTAAATCGACGAGAAGAGTAGTAACTAAGTATAATTTCTAAGTGGCGAATTACTGTAAGTGAACATTTTGAAGAGGACGATGACGAACGCTCTCTTAAATCACTATTGCGTTTTAAAGTGTCCCCCCCCCCCTCTCCTCTCTTCTTAATCACACAAGCCCTTCAAGATCACACCCATCACCACCACCAACCTCATCCACCACCACCCACCACAACCATCAACCTCATCCACCATCACCCACCACAACCAACAACCCCATCCACCATCACCCACCACAACCATCAACCCCATCCACCATCACCCACCACCATCAACCCTCATCCACCATCACCCACCGCAACCATCAACCTCACCCACCATCAACCCATCCACAACCCATCAACCCCACCACCATCACCCACCACAACCATCAACCCCATCCACCATCACCCACCACAACCATCAACCTCATCCACCATCACCCACCACAACCATCAACCCCATCACCACATCACCCACCACAACCATCAACCCCATCCACCATCACCCACCACAAACCATCAACCCTCATCCACCATCACCCACCACAACCATCAACCCCATCCACCATCACCACCACAACCATCAACCTCATCCACCATCAACCCACCAATAAACCATCAACCCCATCCACCATCACCCACCACAACCATCAACCCCATCCACCATCACCACCACAACCATCAACCCCATCCACCCACAACCATCAACCTCATCCACCATCACCCACCACACACCATCAACCTCATCCACCACATCACCCACCACAACCATCAACCTCATTCCACCATCACCACCACCACCTCAACCTCCAACAGTCATCAGTGCCTCACAACACCAAACAACAAGAGACGGTAGAGGGGAGGAGAAGGGGGAGTGGAGAAGGGGTAGGAGAAGGTAGGGGGACGGGGGGGAGAAGAAGCATGGGTTCTCTCTCCAGCCTGGCCTGTGACACACAAACGAGTGACGCGCCCTGCTACCTACACCTCACGACACACACACACACACACGACCCTCAGAATGTACAAAAAAGAAGTCAATATTTACACAATCACAAAACAATGACCTTCCTCTTCTCACCATTTATAATTTACAAGACTCGCTGTAAGGTTACGGCCACACACACACACACACACACACACACACACACACACACACACACACATATATATGACCGTGATCTTCAAGGTTTCGAGGAACAGGTGTAAATAGGAAGGCGAGAGTTGGCGATGGAGAGGTGTTACTGGTGGGTAGGGGATGGGAAGGGAGTGGGAAGGGATGGGAAGGGAGTGGGAAGGGATGGGAAGGGATGGGAAGGGAGTGGGAAGGGGTGGAAGGGGGCAGGACGGAAGGCTCTTAGCGGGCTGCAGAGATAGGAGATAGGTAGAAGGTCATGTTTGGAGAAATGGGGGGAGGATTTGCCTGAGGTGGAGATAGGGTGTATGGAGGGCATTCATCCATACATACAGTGGGTGGGTGGGTGGGTGGGTGTCTCAGTATGGGTGTAGGGAGAAGGGTAGGGGGGGAATTGTTTACACCTAGGCCCACACTGTTTACACCCGCTGGACACTGTGTAACACCATCACACTGCTACTGGCGCCACCACCCAGTACCCACCTCGCCGTCACCACCTGCTCCGCTCCGCCCCGCCCCGCCGTCACCACCTGCTCCGCCCCGCCCCGTCGTCACCAGCCCCCGCAACACGCCTACTAACGATTTTTTCTCAAGAAATTTTGTAGAGAAAAATAAATAACCCCACCGCATCCTAACCTAACCCAACATGACCCTGACCTAACGTAACCGACCCTAACCAATCAGAAACCACCTTTAACCTACCTTACTTAACCAGCACCCCTCCCCCCCCACCACCCACATTTCATACAAAAGTTGGCTGATGCTTACACACACACACACACACACAGACGATAACCCCTTTTTCGAATTCGTGGTAAAGCACTAAAAAGTAAAAAAAGAAAGAGAGAGAGAGAGAGAGAGAGAGACCCAAACACTAACTAGTCTTCCCTTGCCACAAATTATTCAACCCAAAACTTTCTTTCTTCCTATTTTTTTTTCTTCTCAATCTGGATAATCTTAAGAATCCTCACTTCTTATTCTTGAATTATTATAAGACATGTAAGAATAGATGTTCTCGCCGGCTGAAACAAGTACCCGGGAGGTTCGCAAGATTTTCTCATAGTAGTGAATCCGGTAGTAGGTGGTGGTGGTGGTTGGTGTTGTTGGTGATGGTGGTTGGTATGGTGATTCTTATATTGATGGTGTTTAGGGGTCAT